CGAGGAATTGGTGAACTACGCCACAAGATGGAAGTCTTCCTTCGCAATGAGCCAGTGTCTCCAAAGAGGGCAGCCTATGCCATGGTTCAAGCTCACAACCACGTCACAAGAGTTGGTGGCTATGCTCCGGCTCAATGGGCATTTGGCCGCTCAGAGAACCCCAAGGAGAATGTTGCAGCATCTTGTTCTGAGGCCACTCCTGGTCATCAGATGGCTGAGAACCTTCGTTTGCGCATTGAAGCTGAACATCTCCACAACAAGTTGACTGCCTCAGCAAGACTGTCAAGAGCTCAGAACTCCAGGAGCAAGAAAGTGAAGCAGTACATCCCTGGCGACCTGGTGTACTACCTGAGACATCGCACGCCCCGGAGGGCACCTTCGAATGCAGATGTCGACATGCCGAGGATGAGAATTGCCAGATGGTTTGGCCCTGCTCGTGTCCTCGCTTCAGAGACAAGAAGAGATGAGACTGGTACCATCTGTGCACCTTCGAGCACAGTGTGGCTGGTTAGCTGTGGGCGACTTCTCAAGACCCACATGGACCAGTTGAGGCATGCAAGTGAACGTGAGTTGATCATTGCCAATGCCTCCAACACTATGGCTACTCCCTGGACCTTTAGCATGTTGACGAGTTCCTTGCAAAAGGGTTCATTTGAAGATCTCACCTCATCCAGGGCAGAACGTTTTGAGCTGAAGAGGAAACAAACCTTTCGCCCACCGCTGCCAAAGCGACAGGCCATTGAGACTGAGGACGACCTTGAGTACACTCCTTCCGGTGCCAGCGAGTCATCTGAAGAGCTGGTGCCTGATGATGGTGATGTCCACATGGATCCTACCCTTCGAGAAGGGATGCACCCTGACGACAGTGATGAACTGGACATTGAACGTCTTTTGGACGACCCGCAGTACATGCCACTTCATCCTCTCCAACCACCTGATCCAAGTTCTGATGCGTCCATGCCTGAGTCAAGCTTCAAGCAAGCTCGGAGAAAGCATGAACAAGAAGATCGGCCACATCATGCCAAATTTCCAAAGAAGTACCAAAACCCTGATTTGGTTGGCTGGTGCTCCGAGCCCTCGAATGACATGGTGATGTCCGTGGTCATTGAAGCTCCTCAGACTGAGGAAGAATGGCGACGCATCCTCAAGGACCCAAAGAAATTCACAGCAAAATCAGTGCAAAAGGGCTGTGAAATTGCCTGGCACAAACTGAACGCAGTTCAGCGTCAAGCTATGATGGAGGCAAAGCGTTTGGAGGTGGATTCTTGGGTAATCAACAAGGTGGTGGAAAAGGCCGGCATGCAAGTCCCCAAGTCCAGGCTCATGAAGATGAGATGGGTCTTAGTGTTCAAGAGCATGGAGGATCCTGACAAGGCTGGCATGGTCAAGGCCAAAGCAAGAATAGTCATTTTGGGTTTCTCTGACCCTGATGGCGAAAGTTTGGACAAGGCCGCTCCCACACTGGCAAGACGCAGCCGCCAGCTGATCCTCAACCTGGCTTGCCATAGAAGATGACGAACGCTCAAGGCCGACGTGAAGGCAGCATTTTTGCAGGGCTCCGAGTCTCAGAAATCTCGTGATGTGTTTGCACTTCCAGTTGATGAGCTTGGTGATCGACTACAAGTTCCTAAGGGCCAAGCTGTACGCCTCCTTCGTGCAGCCTATGGGCTAGTCAGTGCACCACGTGAGTGGTACAGAGATGTCGATCGCATCGCCGCGACTCAGTGTGGCCTGATCCGCCTGGTGTGCGAACCTTGCGTTTGGATCTGCAAAGATGCTCAAGGGGTGGTTCAAGGTGTTCTGGCCAGTCACGTCGACGACTTCATCGTGACCGGCAATGAAAGCAATGAGCTATGGATGAAAACGCTCACCACCTTCCACCAAGCCTTGAAGTGGAGCCCGTGGGAACCTGATCCCTACATTCACTGTGGTGTCGAAGTACATCAGCAGGCGAATTATGGCTTCAACCTCAGCCACGAGCAATATGCCTCGCAGATCAAGCAGATCGAGATTGACAAGTCCTGCTCCCATGTGACACCTTCCGAACTGTCGCAAGCCAAGGCAGTTCTTGGAGCGATCCAATGGAGAGTGAGTCAAACAGCCCCGCAGCATGCGGCAAAGCTTTCACTTCTTCAATCCATGCTTCCGCATGGAAAAGAGTCCAAGGACGTGCTGGTGCAGATCAACAAGTTGGTCCGTGAAGTGTTTGCGCAACGTGGCTTGTCAGTGAAGGTGCAACAGCTGGAAGCCGCCTCGGATTCAGAGCTGGTGATCATCCGATGCTGCTGTGGCCAACCGGCCAGACTTGTCAAGTACAGGAGCTTATGTTGTTGGACTATGCCATCAGCAAATCCTGTCCGGTGTTCGCTCGCCTGTGAACTTGATTGCTTGGCGAAGTGGGAAGCTACATCGCACCGCTCGAAGCTCCCTTTCAGCAGAGCTCCAGGCACTTGGTGAAGCCGAGCAGGAGGTGATGTTCTGCCGTGCCTTGTGGAGCGAGCTTCTTGGACATCCTTTCAATCCCAGGTGTCCAGAGCAGTCGACGAAGCTGGTGAAGAGCGCACTGGTGATAGACGCTAAGTCAGCCTTTGATGCCTACCACAAAGGCGAAGGTGCTTCTGCGGCATTCAGCCTCAAGGAGAAGTATTCAGCTCTTGAACTTCTCGCCATCCGCGAGAACATGGTCCGACAAGACACGCAATTGCTCTGGGTTTCATCGGAAGCCCAATTAGCAGATGGCCTTACCAAAGCCTCCGCCCAGGACCAGTTCAGGCTGTTCATGCTCCGTGGTCAGTGCTGGAACGTCAAGTACGACCCTCAGTTCACGGCAGCGAAGAAGAAGCCGAAGGTCATGGAAGACCGCTTGGACGACATGTCTGAGGTTGAGTTAGAGCCTGACTGCACTTGGCAGGAATTCATCCAGCGAAGGGACCGACCTTTGTCAAAAACCTTTCGCCCATTTCAGAAGTTGAGCCATTTGCATGAGAGGCATGAACCAATTGACAC